GTGTGTGTGTGTGTGTGTGTGTGTGTGTGTGTGTGTGTGTGTGTGTGTGTGTGTGTGTGTGTGTGTGTGTGTCCACCAACCTATTCTGAAATGCTTACAATAATAATGATAGTGATATTAGCCTGGGAATTAAGCAGCCTGCTTTCGGTTTTGCAACTTCCTCTCGTTGCAAATTGATTTCGACATGCAACATTCGCATTATTATTCACCGTCATCTTTTATTATACATAACTATATATATTATACATAACTATATATATTATACATAACTATACATCATATATTCATGTAGCTTTAACGTAACCTTTATCCCGCAACGCATCACCACAGCGACTAACATGGGAGAGAGGTCTCTGCTGACTGCCTCCTAACTAAAATATAACCTACTAGCGGGATAGCCGGCGTTGCCCTGGGAAATCAATGGCGTTACTCAGTTGGTGACCGCTTGGTTGAAAGGAAAATACCCAAAAAAATCAAACTATTTATTTATCCATGCATCCATGCATCCATCCCATTCCATGCCATGCCATCCCATCGCACTGCATCCCATCCCATCCCATCTCATCGCATCTCATGCCATCCCATGCCATCCCATGACATCCTATGCCATGCCTTGCCATGCCATCCCATGCCATGCCATGCCATCCCATCCCATCCCATCGCACCGCATCCCATCCCATGCCATGCCATCTCATGCCATCCCATCCCATGCCATCGCATGCCATCCCATCCCATCCCAAACAGTAAAAAATAATAAGAAATCAAAAAATGAAAAACATTAAATATAAAAAATAAAAAATAAAAACAAAAAAATAAAAAATAATTCATACTAAAAGAGGTAGATAAAGGGGAAAAAAGGAAAAAGGGGAAATAAGTTTCCCAGCTGGGACTCGACCCCGGAATCCCGGTGTAGGACACGGATGTTCTAACGATTAGGCCACTGCGCCGTTAAGGGTATACCCCACGGATTCACACGTACGTGATGTTACTCTGTAAGCACCGCCATCTATTGATGAATAAAATTTTTATTAATTTTTAACTTTTTGTTTCAACCAGAACCACCTCCCAGACGTGCTGATTCTGAAAATATTTTTAGTTTTCTTCTAGGCTGCGGAGTTCTCTAGTTCTCTAGAGTACGAACTAATTCGGCTGAACAACTTTAGATATATAGATACTAACACCCCCTAATGCACTGCCTCGTATCTAATATCTCCTAATGCCACCTAACTAATATATAACCTATACTAACACTCCCTAATGCCCCCTAACTAATATATGAGCTATACTACCATCCCTAATGCCCCTAACTAATATATGACCTATACTAACACCCCCTAATGCCACCTAACTAATATATGAGCTATACTACCATCCCTAATGCCCCTAACTAATATATGACCTATACTAACACCCCC